TGGGGATTAGTGGATGACATCATTATGACCTGACCTCATGTTTTTAAGGTCACCCTGTATATTTAAGCCTCTCTCTGTCCATGTAGTCCAGTTGCCTCTGAAGATGTCTTGAATAAAGACGAAAGCTAAGGTGCTCCGTTGTTTCCATTTTCCCGTGTGATTTTATCAAGATTTATCTTATCCAAGTTTTCATTGTGGATTTACATGAAATATATATATATAATCATTACATAAGGCAAATACCCTGTACTGTACCTGTTTACACTTGCTGAGATCGGAGCCCCATTTTTACATTTACTGATCAACAATACAGTAATTTCTGCAAACCAATAACACAGCTACAGTACATTGGGGAGGTTTCGTGAACTGAGTAAATATAAGTGATTTTTGGAGTTGACTACAGTACACCCTGGAACAAATGCTACCTCCAGTTGTTTCTTTGTAAGCCTGATTTCAAAATTCACATCTGCAATAACTAACTTACTGTATTTACAAATTCCAAATTTATTCATTTGTTTCTAAACTTATATTAACAATAATTGACATATGTACATACTCCAAATTATATCAATCATTCTTTAACTGAAACAACACAAACTGGTAAACATAAATATTCCCTTTCTAACAACACTTTCAAATAAATTGATGCACAATGTTAATCTGAACAATAATACATACAGTAATAAGGAGAATAATACAAAATAAAATATACCTTACAAAAGGAATTCAAAGCACCAAAAATATATTTAAGGCTTAATTATAGGTGGCTACAGACCCAGGCCTGGCCCTCAATCTATTTCTGCAACAGAACCATTTGATCATAACACTACAGTATACATGTGCAGTAAGTGGCAACATACTACATAAAATACAAACCTAATCTACGATCATACTTGACCTAGAGCAGAGAAAACTGTAGAGCCACACCCAAGTCAGTAACAACACCTTGATAACAACTTCAACCTTGACTGAGATACATATAGGTAAATATATAATGTAAATGAAAAACTTTCTTAATAGAAATTCTAAAATTAATTTCCACAGGTTTTAACTGACAACACTAACAAAGCGTTTCTCATAAATAAGTAAGTCAATGGTATTCTAATATCATAATGCAACCTCCATGTTGATATTCTTTACACGTCATTATGTCTTTTCAAATATTCCACTGAACTGAAGGTAAATTTACTGGAACAAAAATTGTAATTGAGAATTTCATGAGGAAAAGTTATCTAAGCTGACTTAACCTAGCCTAACCTATGTCACCCTTGAAGACAGTAACAAAACACAAATTAAGAGCCATGAAATAAATACTGTAATATTATTTATTCGACAAGTCCAACCAATACAGCTTTTTTGTCGCAAAAAAGTGGTTAACATATTAAAAGCAGCAAAGATGAAGTGTCCTAAGCGTTTGTGGAGTTTAAAGAATTAATTTTATGAGAACAAATAAAAAAAAAAGTATGAAACTATACAGTACAATAAGGAGTTTTCAAGTAGTACAGGGAAATGGAGGGTGACTGAGGAATCTACTGTGCATATCTAATTAATCTATGTACAGTACAGTAATATCTCCGTTAGCCGGAATCCCTCAAACCCGGAACTCTCTGATATCCGGAATTAAAATTTTCTCGAAAAATCATTCCCAAAGCCGAAAAATTCCGAGGAAATATTTCCAGTACTCGAAAAATTTTGGGGATGAGGAATTTTTTTTCCGGGTTTGAGAGATGAAAATCAGGAGCATTTTCTGGAAATTCAGAGAAAATTTTTCCGTTACCCGGAAAATTCCAGAGATAGGGGATATTTTTCAAGGTTCGAGAGATGATGTGATGGGCAATTTCTGGGACTTCCAAGAACATTTTTCCATTACCAGGAAAATTCCAGGGATGAGGAATTATTTTTTCCGACTCTAAGAGTCGTCTCATTATCCGGAAATATCTTATTCCCAGAAGTGCTCTGCACCAATTGTTCCGGCTAACGGGGATATCACTGTATTTGGCAAAGCTAGTGGGAGCATATATGGCAGGGGCAGATCCAGGAAGGGTCCTGAGGGTATGGACCCCCCTTTTTCGTCAGAAAATTCCAAGACAGTATAGTCTTCATTTACGTGGTCAATTGAACCCGTGGAGGTCCGCATAAAACGAAACGCATAAACGAAATAACAGAACATATGGGATTAATTGAAATAGAGACTGGGCCGACCCCCAAACTACACTTTTTCCAACACAATACCTACGTTGTAGTAAAAATAACATCTTAACTTTATGATGGTATGCACACAATTAATAAAAAAGAGAAATATCAATAATATTAGGGTTTTTTAACACTTACATTAGTAGAAGAGATGGCTAGGCACATAGGGATGGGGGGTTGGTTCCGAGGCAGAGGGCAGATTATTGGCCCTCACCTGTATCACCTGTATCAATTGTATCACTATCCACCACAGAGGCTTGCAGGGCCTCTTTGTCAAACCCCTCAAAGTCCATATCCTCACTATCACTGACTTGGGCCGGCTATGGTGGGTGGCGGGGGAAGAACTTGGTAATGTTTTGTTGACTGAGCGACCTTGTTCGCCCTGCCTGCGCCACTTCCTGCGTAAATGATGGAATGAACCGTGTAAATAAAAATTGTCGGTCTGGCAAGGTGCCCCGTAAATGACCAAACGCGTAAACCGAGACTATACTGTACTTTTCTTTAATGCAGTATTGTACTCGGGTATTTTTATATCGAAAAAGTAATTACTATTGACCTCAGAACACCTCTTAATATCAAGTGCACATGGCTTCAAAATGGCCTCAAAATGCCCATGATATTGGTCAGATTTAAAAAAAAAATCTGGGAGGACTTTCAGCACCCCCCAGCTGGGTGAGCTTGCTATGCTCACCATGTTCCACCACCCACAACTTGTTGGACCCCCTCTTAATATTCCTGGATCTGACCCTGAATAAACATGGGCCAAATGTGAGACAACATAACAAGTACTGTATACTGGAAGAATCTGTAGAGATAGTCAATCTGGGCAGTGATACCAATTAGACAAGGACTGATGACACACATAAAGACAAACAAGTTTGTTATAATGATTGCTCTAAATTTACCACACACTTTCTCAACTAAAGGTGGGCAGTTGCGCCACAACTTTCTTGGTTGCGTATGCAGTTGCGCCGCACATTTTTCCAGAGAGTTGCGGCACAACTTTTACAAGCATTTTCAAGCGCAACGTGCAAAATTTGTCGGCAATAATTGAAAATTGGAATACAACTGCATAGCGACCGCATAAACAAACGGGCATCCCTAGAGCCGCACATTACGAAAATTTATGTTTCTGGCGGAATGATTCAGCATACACATGATACAGGTCGGGCACCATATTTCTGAACTGTAAACCAGATGAGACCCCCCCCCCCTTCCATTGCTCCCTCACTGTAGTTGCCAGATTTCATCTTTCACATAAACTCTAGAAACTAGAGTTAATGTGAAAGATGAAATCTGGCAACTACAGAGAAGGAAGGGGAGGGAAGAATGATTCATATCATAACCAGTCAGGTAGTCAATAGCACTGCAGTTAAGCCGTCAGTTTCTTTTTGTTTTGTTTCTTGTTATTACTAGTATTATGGATCATTGTGTGACTAGGAGTAGTCTGTGGCCGGCAGCAGTGATCCTGCCGACCAGGACATGGACACGGAAGTTGAAGTGACTGAGACTGTTGACAGCCAGTCCACCGAGACTGAGGCCAGTGGCAGTGAGGCATTTTTTTTGTAATAAAATATTGATAATATTATCTTTTTTATCAATTATATTTTGTTTTACTTGTAAATAGGCAAATTATTTTATTTTAGTATTTATTTATTTATTTTTAAAGTTGCTCGTTGCAGTTGCGGCGAAACTTTTTGAAAATGGTTGAAGGCGCGGGTGCAGCACAACTATTTCAGCTAAGTTACGGTTGCGGTTCAAAACATAAAGTTGCGTGTGCCCCTATGCTCAAAACTACTCGCATGAAATTTTCTATTACCTGTATTGTTTTTTTTTACATGTGGAGTCTGTGTTGATAGAAAGGTTTCTTGTGGTTACTACACAGGTTTTCTAAGCATCAACATTGGTCTTGTTGATGGATGCTGTTTACTTGGGTGGTTGACTTACACTCAATATGGTGGTGGTCCTTGCAGGAATGGTTCCTTACATGAGTGGTACTGTAGTCATCAGTATTGTGTTGTGATCTTGAAGACTGTCAAAATAGTTGTGTGCTTATTCCATACAAATGCACTGGAGGAAAATTCACCATTTCCTGGCATTATTAGCTGCAAAAGGTTTTCCTCTCAGTCCCAAGGAAAACTTTCTTTCAAAGTTCCAAGGCATCATTCTCATCTTTGATATGAATGACCTCTCAAAAAGTGATTTGCTACACTGTATCAGTATTTTTCTTCTTGCAAGGCTCTACTTTCAGCTGCAGCCATTCCTGCACAATGATATAAGAAAAAGGAAACTTAATACAGTAAGCCCAGATAATTCGGGGATTTTTTTTTTTTGCGATCCTCTATTATTTGTGGATGACACCCTGGATGTACCAAAGAGTGTCTAAGGGTAGTTTTAAAGTTGCTGGCATTTTCGTGGCCAGGACAGGGAGCCATTCGTTCTAGAGACAGTAATTTCCTTTACCTGTATTGTATATGTGTGTGTGTGTGTGTGTGTAAACACACACACAAAACACATACAAATAAATAACAATGGGAAAATCCTCTCATAAATTATCAGAAAAAAATTATTAAAAATGTTGAGTCTACCCTCAAGTCCATTCCGTGCTTTGTTATTAATAATGCACGGAGTAGACTTGAGGGTAGACTCAACATTTTTAATAAATTTTCTTCTGATTATTTGTGAGAGAATTTTCCCATTATTATTTAATCCACACACACAAAGATATATACAATACATGTAAAAGAAATAATTGTCCTAAGGGCAAACACAAAGGGAATATACTTTTTTTGTACAAAAGTAAAAATCCCCCCCCCCAGTCAGCAATGTTATTCGCAGATTTGGCGATTTCGGCCTTTTTGAGAATCTAACCCCCGTGAAATTGAAGGGCACGCTGTATATAAAAAACAAAGTAAAGCAAAAGTATTGTAACAGTATTTAACAAAAATACTTCAAATTGATCAGTATTTAACCTGTTGCTCTGCCACACCGCTACAGACTCACATATATACAATCTTCAAGTGTGGTAGAATTTACCACCGAAGGACTAACATTTGATCTTGACTGCAGGTAAAGCAGTTATACTTACTGTACTGGTTTGTACAACAATGTGAATACTACCACCATTGTTCTTGTTTAAGCCAAGTTCCCCCATGTTTAAAAGCCTTGTTCTTTTCCCCACAGGAAGTGGCACACTATATTACCCATTAATAACTTGATTATCTAAGATGTTACCCATTAATTACTCTGCACATTATGTGCAAGAGATGTCACCCCAAGGGACATTAACTGTCGTCTTGTATGTTCTCTTTCCTGTAATATTCTAATTCATCTGGAGATTGAAAGATAAAATACTTTACTGCAAAATATGACTATGTGAAGTCCTTAACAGTAAGAATGGTACATCTTGTAATTACTTGAATCCTTTAGCTGCTCATAAAATAGCAACTGCTGTACAATTGCAGATGAACTTACAAAAATTAATTTAAATTAAAAAAATGTAACAAAAACTGAGCAGAGTATTACTGTTCCATAATATGAAAGACAAGTTCCAATATAATTGGCTGATCAGTGATATTGGCTGCTGCTCGGTGGATGACGGGAATCAGTTCCACGTCCAGGTCATTCATACACGATGCTGGCAAACGACTTCCACTGCTGCCCGCTTCATAACCCACCTGGGAAAAGTTACATCTTTTAATATCAGGTCTCATAATGTGTTTCTATAGCACGTACTTAATAGATTCCTGTGTAAGAATTTAGTTCTTACAAAGCTGGCATAAATGAGTAACCAAAATTATAAAAGAACTAATATACAGTACTGTACTTGGGAACCACATAAATGTAGGCCCATACCACGTCAAAGTTTACCAGAGCTTATTTTTACATTGATTCATCAAAGTACCGAATAAAACCGAATACAATAAAGACAACTACATATATACAATCTATACACTATACACCCTAAAGTAAATGATGACAAGAACTGTGCATTCTAACAGAGAGGACCCCCCCCTCCCCCCCCACACACACACACACACAAGCACTCGCTGGTAGGGACATTAAGAAAAATAAATAAATATACCAAAGGTCACATTTTACTTACACTATCTTGATGAATAGTGGTACGCAGGCCAAGACAAGTGTGTCCATTGGAATATAAGTCAGACAAGTGTGGGGTGAGCGCCACACAGAATGATCGCGCCAATAACTCAGACAGTCGGCTCAGGTTCACATCGTTGCTGTTGTTACTTTCTCCCTGTGAAGGACAAAAATCTTGTACTACAAACAAAGGAATCTCAATACTGTACAGTGAAACCTCCATTTAACGTACCATGTGGAAAGGTAAATCCACTATTTCAAGGGTTTATTAAATGTGAAACCTCCATCTAATGAACTATATAATGAAGAAAGTCCATTATATTAAGGGTCTGGAGAGAGAAGTCTGTTATATGAAATGTTTCACTGTACTATACCAAACTATATCTCTTGCAGCTAACTACAAGATAACCTCGTTCATCAGTGAGTAAGTGAACAAAACAGAGAAAGCCTACACATGCATTCACTCCATTCACACTATTGATGATGACAAAGTCTCATATTACTGGAAGGACATAATTTCCTACCTGCATTATAAAGACTTCTGTCCACCTTATGAGATGAGCATTACTGACATAATCAGTACCAGAGTGAATCTTAACCGAGGGTATTCCATCCATCTGCTTCTCATCAACTGGACTTTTGATTCTGAAATATGACCAGTATAGAGATAATTACTTTTAGGAATATAAATAATTTACTATGAAGTGATATTTAAACTACTGCTGTGACTACCACTTTTCTACACCAACAAGCCCTAATTCACTTGTTAGTTATTTTTTTTTTTTTTTTAATAGCCCACCAGGGCACAGGTCACTGACCCACAACGGAGCCTAGGGAGTGAAAAAATAAGAGTAAAAATAAAATAAAAAGAGAAAAGAAAAAGATTACATTAACCTAAGCCCCAGGTTAGGGTACCGCTGGCCGTATCCCCCACCCGGGGGTAAATTGAGAAAAATCAACTTGTCCAAAAATTATTTTTAACCCTTTTAATGATAAAACAGTAAAACAGAAGTAAGAAAAACTATATATTGGCCATCTAGAAACTTCCCTGGCAGTGCAGAGGGAGATAAGGGTACAGCTTGTCATGACAGCAAGCCTCATGGTCACCTACACACTTAGTAGCTTACCTTTGTATCCGGGATTGCCAGTAATGCATATATTTACTGTACTAATCATAATACTTATTTGCTATAAACTATTCATTTTGAATATTTTATTTGCATGATTTTCCATAAAAAGTGCTCAGCAACACTCACCAGTCGGTCGCTATGCTGTCTGGCTGCTCTGTGTTTCATAGAGCAAGTAGTGCAGAAAATAATAACAACTCCACAAATAAATACATTTATAACATAATCATAGCATTATTTTACAGTAATACTACACTACAATCCAAGCAACATTGCAGCAAAGAGAAAGGGAAGAGAGATTATCAACTAAAGGAGGAGTTAATAAGACAAAATGCCTTTGATTCCACCCTATCTAACAGTTGGACAGAAGAAGAACCACCCCAGATATGAGAGCAATACTCCAAGTTAGAATGAATGAATCCCTTATAAACTTGAAGCAACTGCACAGGAGTGAAGTAGCTACGGCTTCTGTAGTATGGATGAATTCTCTCTAAATCATCATAAAAAAAATCACTTTGTATAAATAATAATTTTATATCAACATATTACAGGTGTACTGTATTTTAATATGGTTGGGAAAATATTTATTTATATACATTTATTCTTGACATTCTTTTTTTGTTGTTCTACTGAGGCAGGGAACAACACAGCACAGATGACAGAAATAAATCATCTTTACAGGATGATGAAGAAGATGCCAGCAAATGATAAGAACAGCCTAACCTGCAACGTATACCAACAAACTTACCCAATGTTAAAATTCTTGTCATCGCTGGTCCACTTGATGGTCACAACTTCGTCGGGTTGGCTTGCTGAAACTGGACCGCAAGGAATCTCGAAGTCCTTCATGTTCTGTAAAGCTTCACGTAATTTGGTCATCATGTCTGCTGGGATCTGTTAATGAAGAGTGTGAACAGTAGGTAGAGTAGCTGGAAAAATTTATCTGTAATCAAACATAATAATTCAGGTAACTGATCATTCTTCACCCCTATTCTCTCGTAGGAAACTCTGATAGTTATAATATACATCAAAATCATATCATCTCAATCTCTGACCAAAGAAATATAAAATATAACAAAATAAAAAACTTGTATACAGTACTGTGCATCCGTGCAAATTGACGAGCTGAGCAACTATGTGTGTGTACAGTGTATTTCTACCTCTTGTCTTAACAGTTGTGATATATTGTCATTTTCTACACTTGTCTCCCGTCTACAGGTACTTTGTCTTTTCGTTCAGGTTTCCCTATACCCCTTGATCCACCACACAATACATAACTTAAAGGAGAAATCAAACAAGGGGAGATTAATGGTGGATAAGAGTAGAAAGCAATAGAAACGGATCAAGACAAGTGAGAAAACAGTAGGAATGGATCAAGACAAATAAAATGAACAGGAAGGAGTCAAGACAAATAAAATGAACAAGAAGGAGCCAAGACAGATAAAATGAACAGGAAGGAGCCAAGACAGATAAAATGAACAAGAAGGAATCAAGACAGATAAAATGAACAGAAGGAATCAAGACAGATAAAATGAACAAGAAGGAGTCAAGACAGATAAAATGAACAAGAAGGAGTCAAGACAGATAAAATGAACAAGAAGGAGCCAAGACAGATAAAATGAACAAGAAGGAGTCAAGACAGATAAAATGAACAAGAAGGAGTCAAGACAGATAAAATGAACAAGAAGGAGCCAAGACAGATAAAATGAACAAGGAGGAGTCAAGACAGATAAAATGAACAAGAAGGAGTCAAGACAGATAAAATGAACAAGAAGGAGTCAAGACAGATAAAATGAACAAGAAGGAGTCAAGACAGATAAAATGATTTAAAAAAAACACATTACCTGAACCATGAGGCCATCTTCTACAATGGAAGATTTTGCCGAGAGGCCCGACGTGGTCTTCAGGGCACCATTAAATACAATAAAACTTGCCCCAGTTACTGCAAGGGAAAGTCATGATTGAAACAGGTAATTACTGTACACCTTGTATAAATCTTTTAGTTAATAAGGTGAAAATATATATTGCAATTAAAAATGAAGTGTGGGTAGTATGATACAGTGAAACCTCTATTTAATGGACCATAAAGAGAGGAAAGTCCATTGAGGGTCTGTTGTATGTGAAACCTCCATCTAATGAACTGTATAGAGAAGAAAGTCTGTTATATCAAGGGTCTGTTATACAGGTGTATGTGAAACCCCCATCTAACAGATTATATGGAGAGAGACATTCCTTATACAGAGGTTTCACTGTATTCCTATCTTATAGTGTTTCAAGGGTGTATTGATGATAAACTGAGGAGTAAGTATAGAACATTTCCTGAGCACAATACATTATACTAAAGCCAACACAAGTACTGTACAGTACTTAGCTAACCTCTACGTGGTCGATTATGAATATTAATTGCTTGAGTAGAGTAGTGGCCATCATCATTTTCTATGGTGACCAGGTGGGAGTCAGCCTGGGGACTGAAGTTAGCTCCAAGGGCCAGGACGTGGTCATTGCTGTTACTCAGAGCCTTTGTTACCTGATACACAAATACAATACAGTTACTTTACAAAATTCTTGTTAGTGATATATGGAAATACTTATGACTCAACAGAGATAGTGGAGACAGAAATTAGCTAAAGTTGAGGAAAATATAATACTGTGCATACTCTCACAGCATGTATGTCAGGTTATCATAGCAGGTCACATCTATCAGTGGATGACACGTGTCAGCCAGCCAATGTAACATAACCCACATTACCAAAACAAATCTTGGACAATTACCTGTTCATATCTGTTCTTAGGGAATAGTAAACTGGTTTTCTTATCCTCCATGTGAATGACAAAACCTTCAATGCCAGGGACGGTGTAAGCATAATTACGGAAATCCTGAAGCAAACAAAACAAGTGGCGTTATTTAATGTTTTCTTCAATGATTTAATACAATTAGGATGTGGATCCATTAGCAATGAGGAGCCATTATAATTGGACCCCAATCTTTATAGTATGATTAGGTTGGGCTGGGACCTATTAGCACTGAGACCAATGTCACCAACTGCCTGATCTAATGATTTATAAAATAAACAAAACTTAAATATGTTACCAAAGTGATATTCCATAATCACTTGACTGAATGGACAAAGAAGTTCAAGAAATGAAAAGGATCATTACCAGTAAACACCAGGACTACAAATCTTTTATCTCAGGAGAAGTTAGTAGTAACATGAGGGTATTTCTCAAGTAGTTGGGGCCTGGGGGTTAAAATCTTGTATTTCACCCAATACTAAAGAATGCTACCCATAATGCACAGGACTGCCACAGTGACTTCATCTTAAGACTCTTACCACAAGAAGGTTCATTATGGTGTGCCCAATCTCACAGAAGACGGGCTTCCTATTGCGTGCAGACACAAGCGGACAAGGGTAGTAGCGGAACTCTGCACCCATGCGCAGCATTAGACGAAGTGGGAAAACCTGCGGAGAAACACAAACACCTTCAAAATGTTTTCACCAATTTTGTTAATATATTATTATTTGATGCCAGTGATTGTACTATGGAGGAACTCTCAAAATATGAAGGAATGTTGAACATGTGGAGGAACAAAAAAATACTGTATATCGGAAGATTGACTTTAAGGAGGAATTTTCGTAATCTGGAGAATGCTCTGAATGTACCAATACTTCTCAACAGTTTCTGAATCCCGCCTTGAAACAGATTTTGCAGAGAACTTCCTGTAGTCAACACACCTTTGCCCATGGAGTCTCCCACTTCTGAATAAGGACGGCAAAAATATATGGTGAGGGGGGCAAGACCAAGTTACGGAGGCACTGGAACGTGGGGCGGATATAAAGGAAACCACCATGCTCCCGTGACCCCAGGAACCCTTCTGGTTCTGTGAAGATTGTGTGGCCTAGTTCTGACACCAGATTACCTGAAACACCAAACAAATTTTTTCTCATTAGTAAACAGCAGAACAGTACTGCAAAGGGTAATATGGTTTACAGAGATGACAAACCTACATCAAAGGTTAAAAATGATTAGTGGCTTCTGCAATTTAATATTCACACCAGTAAGACAATGTTCTAAAGTTCCTACATAACTAAACTCATGAAAATGTAAAAAGAGGGAACTATCACCTCATAAAACAATCAAGTACAAACCTTGATTAGCTTGTTGATAGACAGTGTGGAAGAAAGCAAATATATCTCTGGGTGGATGTGTTTCACCCGGGGCCACTTCCAGGAGAACAACCATCTCTTCCTGCCCGACCGTACACAAGCCGCGTGTCGCTATGTTCCACACCTCCACACCCACGCAACATTCCACTGTAGCACACCAGAGTTATATCTTAAAACTAATGCAAGGAGAAATTTTAAAATAACTTTGTATTTAATTTATATATTCCAAAGGTTAAAAATAGCGAAAGAATGTTCAAATGTAAACCCATCAGATATCTTACCTTGAAAAAAATATTCCTGCCAGGTTTTAATTAAATTTTGATATTAACACAAGCCTCAACAGATCCCAGCCATCAATCTTCCCAATCACAATAAGAGGATAACGTGAGCATTAATTGCATCACCTGAAGAATCTCCACCCTAGCTTACTTCACCTAAAGATTAACCACCCTAACACTATGTTGGGAGGGGGTTAGAAAAGGAAAGCATTAGAGTGGTTAATCATAATCATAAGGTGAAATAAGCTGGAGTAGAGTTTTTTTTATTCAGATAGCTACTATACATAGTTCATCAAGCCCTTAGCACTATCAGGGTGATGATTTAACCCTAAGAGGACAATGATTTAAACCTTGCCATGACCATAATTTAACCCTACGAGGACAATAATATAACCCTTTTGAGGATGATGGTTTAACCCTCCAAGACTCAAATGGTTAAATAAATATCACCTCATATTACCCACTCCTCTTTCATTACTTCTAGGAATCGTAAGACTATTCTTCGTAGGGCCAAGTGGAATTTTATAAAAAGAAAGACCGCTGTCCTGACTAACTCTTCTAGTAAATCCTTCTGGTCCTTCACCAAAAACATCTGTAATAACTCCTGCGCTCCCTCTTTTCCTCCTCTCTTCCGACCTGATAACTCTATAGCCAACTCTCCCCCTGATAAAGCCAATCTCTTTGGCACCTTATTCTCCTCTAACTCCACCTTACACAATTTCAACTGTATCCCTCTACTCCTGCTCCTCCTACTCAACCTATGCACTTTCCTAGAATCTCCACTCATAGGGTTGCTGGTGTAAGGTGTATTATCCAGGTTGGATGTCAGTAAGGCGCATGGACCGGACGGAATACCCCTTCGTGTTCTGAGGGAGTGTGCCAAAGTTCTGGCCCCTTTGCTTGCTCGCCTCTTTTGACTTTGTCCAAAACCCAAACTTTTCTTTCTTCTTGGAAGCATGCCTCGGTTCAGCCCATCCCAAAGAAGAGTGACCATTCTAATCCCTCTATCTCCCCATTGCCCTAACTTCATCCCCCTCTAAGATTTTTTAAACTATCTTAAACTCATTTTCTCTGTTACCTTGAACGGCATTCTCTTTTGTCCGATCACCAGTATGGCTTTCACCAGGAGAGATCTACTGGTAATCTGCTCTCCTACTGCATCCATCTTTGGTCATCCTCTCTTAGGGATTATGGGGAAACTTTCGCCGTGGCCCTCAACATCTCCAAAGCGTTTGACAGGGTATGGCACAAGTCTTTGCTCTCTAAACTTCCCTCTTATGGCTTCTCCCCCCCACTTTGTTCTCTAATTTCTAGCTTCCTTGAGAACCGATCGATGGCAGTTGTTGTCAAGGGATCGATCTCTTGCTCTTTCTCTACCAATAGTGGTGTCCCACAGGGTTCTGTTTTTTCAACTACTCTCTTCCTTCTTTTTATCAATGATTTACTTCACACTACGACTAATTCTATCCATTCTTACGCTGATGATTCTACTCTTCACTCTTCTTCACATTTCCCCCTTCCCCCAATTCTCAACTAGATCTGTTTCTAGAGCTGATATCATTACATGTATCAATGCGGATCTGTGCAGCATCTCCGAATACATGTTGAGCAGTTGGTGGAAAGTATAGCATAGAGCTAAGTAATGAGGATCTTATTGAACTGCATGCACAGAAAATTGAAGAGGAAGAAGAGAGACAATATGAAGAAGAACTTGCACCCCCAAAAAGTTTTCAGTGAAACAAATGGCAGAGGCATTTGCTACTACAGTATTAACACGGGGATGCAAATGTTTGAAGAAATGGACCAAAATATTGAGCGTTCTGCAAAAGTTGACAGACTGATCCAAGATGCACTTGCTTGCTACAGGGAGATTTACAATAAAAAGAAAAGGCAAACTGTGCAGTCTAAATTGGATATATATATATAATTACACTCACACTTAACCATTTTGACTAGGACGGTGAGGTTCTTGTGGACAGCAAACACAACTGGCGGTCCATCACCCTTCATCTGCTGCTCCAATTTGCTACTGTCGGGGTTGTCCTCAAACACGTACTCTGTAATGCAACTTGTAATTAGTATTCATTTCACAGCACTAAAGAACAAAATACATAAGAGTACTATTATATTTAATCAGGTCAATCACAATAATACAATACCTCTGTAATGCAACTTGTTATTAGTCTTCATTTCACATCATACATCAGGACATAAAACTTCATTACTACTATACTTCCTAAGGTTAATTACAATAATACAATACTTCTACAACGAAAACAATATCATGACTATTACCACACTCCTCCCTACCGGTACAGCGCCCCTCCCCCACCTCAAAAAACAATGCTACAATTCCACACTATTTTCCCTACCAACTCACTTTCCTTAAATTCCACTAAGCTTTGTAATGTCATGATGCAAGACAGCCAAGTGCAGGTAATGTTTTCACAATCAAGAAAATACACATTAGTCTTTTTAAAATTCTAGTGACCAGTATGGAGGAATCAGAGAAAACTCTACAATGAAAAATAACACCAGGTAATGACCCAACACCTGTAATTAAGAAAAAAAATAATGTGGGTCAAGTTAAGTGGGAAAAATCACCAGTTAGACATGTATACACCATGCAAGGGGAGATAATCGGTTAGATCGTTAATGTCCAGAGAAATAAAACCAACGGAAAAAGTTCAAGGGGAGGTTATACGCAACTGGAAGTATATCAAAATACCTGAACCATGCAAACTCCGTCGACACGGAAGGGTATTTATTACAACGAAGAGCCACAAGCTACTGATTACTCCACCTGGGGTGTACTGTACAGACAGATAATATATAGCAAATCAATGCTATATTGTACAGTACACTAAAACACCCATATAACGGACTTCTATCCTCAAATAATCCGTTAGATGGGGATGGAGGAGGGTCATAGGTTCTTATTTAACAGACCCTCGACATAAAAGACTTTCTTCTCTATATGCTTGTACTGTAGTTTAATAGATGGAGGTTTTACATCGATCAGTCAATAGAATACTTTCATTGACATACAGTCTGTTAAATAGAGGTTTCATTGTAATAACCTTGACCCATTCAATAACAGGTTAACCATTGACTATTGCCATTACTACCACTAAATGGTGGTTATGTAGTTCCAAGTGATTACAGCAGCAATTTCTACACTCTCATCTACTGGAGCAAGAGAAAAATTTAGTATCCATACGGAATGAAGAGGAATTTTAAATGATAACTATCAAAGTATATTTTTATTCCTTTTGCCATTCCCGAAGGTCGGAGTTAAGCTTCTTGAGTATGTCTCCATCATGTTGTTCAGCATCCCTCAGTCACTCTCAACCAAACCCCTCTACTTCATCCTTTTGTCTTCCACTTCATCTCCTCCCTCTGAGTGGATGGTTCATTCCATCCACTCGAGAGCCTGGATTACAGAACTTTAAATCTCACAGTCCATATTTACACTTCTTACATACCTCTGAATCAGTTTACATGCTTTTGAATATTTACACAATTTTTAATTTGTCTCATTGAAATAAAAAGAAACATTTGCTTCACTGACAGACCCTGTGAGTGGGGTGAAACTAAAAGAATTGAAGCCCAAAGAATATATGAGGATCAAAGAACCAAAAGTAGGACAAGCGCTGGAAATGAAAAGCAGAGAAATATGCAGTTAAAATTTGTGAACCTTCAAATTACAAAAACTTTGGAACCAGTTAAGATAATGAAGTGATTCAAGTGGCCAACTGTAGCACTGTTAGTGCAGATTTAATTGTTGCTAGTGAAAACATCATAGGTGTTGTTTTTAGGCATAATGGCACTTGTCTTACTTAAGTTCTGTGCTCCATCATATGAAACATAATAAAGTATCCATCCAACACATGTCCTGGGAATGCACAAGAATATACTGGTAGTCAGAGTATTTGAGCCAACAGTTGAAACTTAGTAAATAATGATATAACCTGGAAATTCCTAGTGATTATTATGAATATAAAAAACTTACAAAATATAGTACACACACAAAACTAAATGAGTTTTACAGAGCAGTAAACAATAATTCTATCATGCTACTGCTCTTTCTTTTTTCTCTCTCTCTATCTCCAGGAACTCCCAGTACTGTAAGTGAGACACTGTACAGTACTTCTAAGCTGCAAAAGCAAAGTGCCAAAGGAGAAAGAGAGTTATACAGTAATGTGAAAAATACAATTGGATGATAAAAGATGAAACAGGTTAGAGATGTTACATACAATAAACTATTTACTATGTATATTTGCAACACTGGACTGGGCATTCTTGATGAAGGATGAAGTGTAATTAATTCATATGTATTTGTATAATTAATTCATGTGTTAAGTAAGTAATTCTCATATAGGTAATTAATTCACATAGATAAGTAATTATCTAATCGGTATAAATAATTAATTTGTGTATCTTCAAATCTATATCATACACTGCACACTTCCTCCCTCCTAAGACAGGAGGGAACCCCCTACCCCAACACGCCTCGTCGCCAAGATATCACAACCCAACCCAGCCTAACCTAACCCAAAGTAACCCAACTTAATCCAAAGTAACCTAACACAGTCAATACCGTCACCTTACATACAGTCTCCCAACACAGTCATTCTTCATACAGTCTTCCTTCACACAGTCTACCTGTTTTATCCCAACCACCAGTGCGGAGTGTTATACAGGTATCCAACAGCCCCTCTGATGTGCACACAAGTCAAAAAGTTTCCTTATGGAGTAGTCTGATGAATTTCCAAATGAACATTGTGACTCCTGTTGCCTTGGCAGGTTGTTAAAATCCTGCATCCATTGAGTCATATTGTTAAACAAAAAAATTGTAAAGATACAATTTTGATTGTGTGTACATCAAGCTTTTTCGAGAACATTTGAAATTCAATTTTCTATGCAAGTTTGCATGTGTATACATGTCTGCAAATTAGATGTGTGTATCTGTGTTTGTGCATGCATGTCTGCAAAATTGTGTATTTGTGTGTGGTTGTGTACTGTAGTGTACATGCAAGTCTGTATGCATGCAGGTATATGTACACAAAACAAAATGAACGAAAATTAGAAAATAATACTTATAAAACTTAGTATCACATTGAGTAAAAATACACAAATTTTAACTTAACAAATACAGTACAAGAGTACAGTATTGTACTACTTCACCCATTACAACATTGTGCTCATCATCTTCAAGAGCATTTTTTGACCGAGTAATTAAGAGTAAAGGAGTGTGATGTAGCCAATCATATTTACTATTATCCTCACACAACACATCTAGAGGTAAACAATCATAAAGCTGTCAACATAAACATAAATAACAAGCAAAAATAAAACCCACATCACATGCACAGTTGGGTGGATCAACACACGCACACTGCCACAAGTTTTGGATAAGGAGAATAATCATTAGCCTAATTTAAAATGAACTATGTAATTGTACTCTTAGACTAAGAGCAAGCCTTGAGAACCCCTTTAAAGCAGTGGTGACTGACAAACATGCACAAGATGAAATAGAAGAGGGGCCCACCCACCTCCAGTGGCAGGGGCCTGCACCACCACAGGGGGGAGGCCAGCCCCAGGGGGGATGAGGCAGCGGTCGGGGGGAAGGGAGCGAAGTAACCCGCCCACACCACCGCCAACACCGCCGCCTGTAATACACCTCAGTTACTACACCATGACAGGTCTCATCTTACAGCACGTACTGACGAGCGAATGTCAGAATTTCCCAAACTACCCACGGTGCCTCTGTGCTGATGAACTATGTGCAATAAAGTGTTATTTAGTATTACAAAGCAAGTTTTAACAGTACCACATCATCCTGGGAGCATGTCTACTAAGACTAACACAATGTCTGCCCAGTAGGGAAAAAGGATATAACTGAGAAAACAGTTCTACCCTTTCAGCAGTGAGCAGACAACATGGTGTTCATGGGAGGTTCTGCAACAGCATTACTACACTACTCTCATAAAAATGCCAACAGCTGTAAATTAAAAAATAAAATAAATCACTACACAAAGCATTTATAAAGCTAGAAATATTATTATTCCCTTACGATGCAAATAAACAAATAAATAAAATAAATTTTCTTAGCACAAGAGGAAGCAGTGAGCCTGAAAACTCCCCTTTGAGGCCAGAGAAGAATATAAACATAAGGTGTAGAGAGAGCCACCATAGTCCAGATGCTTATTGCTACATACTTCCTGATCAAACCCAGCATTGGTTCAGCAGATCATTTACAAGTGTCAATCTTCAGACAGAGTTAACAAGAGTTTCAAAAAGGCCACCTATTTGTCATCAAAAATAGAACAAAAGGATTCTGAGTCATACAGAGAAGCTCTAGTGGTAATGTCTGCTGCTATGTACTGTACTAGCCACACCATACTGACCACATGACTTGGAACACATCCTCCTCCCCCCATACTGAGGGTGAGAAAACATGTTCCTGGCTGTGAGCTTACTGACAGGTCTCAACAGCTGGACCTATACAAAAAGTACTTCAGAATCAACTCTGAATTAAAACCAATACAAGTCTGGTCATTTTTTACACCACTCCGGATAAAGCTGATGATGTCATATATCATAATGGACAAAACAAAACATCACTTCAAACAACATAATATCGATATTCTATCACTGCCTGCAATCAGACCAAAGAGTTTAGGTGAAAACTAAATAATAGCAGTGTTAAGTTTTGGTGGTGTCAAAACACTGTCACAATAACTCTCTTCAATACTTAACATCATCCTGTTTTCCCACCTAAATGACATGAAGTTTTGGTTTTCTGGAGTTTTAAATAATTGATCTCTTTATCGCATTACTGTACTCCCTGTATGATGCAGATACCTTAAATTTATTTCTTATAACCTTCATTGACAGTTGAACCACACCAATAACTTGCAGATGATCTCAACACAAAAGCATCTGACAACTTCTGCCTGTATTATGGCATTACAGCTCCTAACTATTGGTCACAGGTTTATAACTAGCCACAAACATGTCCACAATGCTGTACATTTGAATTCAAACTAATGTACATGCAAAATAATTGATGGTTTAAATTACACAATAACACTCAAAAAACGTCATAAAAAGCAGTGCTCAATGTGGTGAACCTCTCTCCTGACCACAGTGCAAAAGCTTTTAGGTTAAACTGCAGTAGCGGCAAATTAGGGGCTTAAATATATGTTCTTTTAAGAGTACCATCACCTATTTTCCCTCCTAATTTACCACCTCTTGCATGTCTTTCCTCACTTCATCACAGTCACTGGAAGCAAGAGCAACATACACTCTCCCTCACTCAGCTGCCTTACCAAATGTGATCTGCTATTGCATTCCCTTCTGAAACAACACCACGACCTATCAGCACTACCTCCTTCCCACTAGACACCATATATATATTATACTTCCCTCCCCCACCAAGTAACTCCCTCACCCTACCCTTACTGAAGTTTTTAAGTCAGTACATGTATGTACATGGGAATAAATTACACCTGTCCTTTGAACTGCTTTCTTTACACATCTGTTAATATTCTTGTACTGAGAAACACACTTATAATGAGAAATACAAAAAAACACCTTTCGTCACATGCCTGTTAGTGTTCTTGTACCAAGAAACACAAATACACTTGCGCAATCCAAAAAAGAAGGACGGAAACTTGAAATCACAACTACTGGCTGAGGTGAGTGACTAAACAAAACACTGGTTTACACTGAACAACAGAGTCTACCAGTGTTGTGGGGCAACAGGACCCATTATTAAAGTAACACATCTGCTCCCAACAGTGATGCAATACCAGGAGCCATACAAGGTCGTGTGGTGGTTAATAATGTGGCCAGACAAGATCTTGATCAAAAGGTAAAGTCTCAATGAAGTAAAACCTCTATTTAAAGGACATCACTCAAATGGGTATACCTGCAATCTGTTATATGGAGGTTTCACAGGTAATGGACCTCGATACAGTATAATAGATTATACTCTCCAATATATATTAGTCTGTTATATGGAGGTTTCAAATTTAATTGGCATTCATATAATGGACTATACTCTCCTATATACAGTACAGTAGTCTGTTAAATAGAGGTCTCACTGCCTGCAACACAGAAAACATTCCACAATCATAGGTACTTCAAGATGCAACTGTTAGTCGTAGCTGCTATACCCTTGAGAGAAGCGACAGATGACAGTCACTCACATCAGCTCTCAGCCATATACTGTAATGGGATTTTACACTTTAATCCTTCATTTACCGCCAACAGTTCCAAATGAGTAACTGAACAAGACCCATCAAACAGCCTGGAAGAGCCTCCTATGTCTTATAAATCTGCTGACCATCTAGTGAACTGTACCTATCGTGGCTAATATCCAGAAATATTTTAGTTACCATGTTTAAATTGACATATAAATGACACACACAAAGGCATCCCCAGATCTACAAAAAGGTTATACTCACCCAAATAACATTCGTGAACCAACCTTCTATATCTCTGACCCTTTCTTTAGCTCTCCTAAATCTCCGACAAACATAATTCTGCCAAAAACTGAATTTTACATGAACAAACTTAATAAACCCCATAAACATCATCTCCACACCAATATTTTACCCATTTCTTTCATTTACATACTGTACTTATTTTACAAAGCTTATTGAGGCTTTTTTTTATAATGTAATCAATTCTAAAACCTATTTCTTTTATTTATTGTAATGTTCATCATCTACCACATCTTCCATTTTCAAATACAAGTGACAACAATGAGTTTATGAAGTACTGTGATCAATGTGTAGGTTCAGATCATGTGTGTGTGTGTGTTTATGTGATTTCTAATTATTGTGTTTACTCTTTACTGTTGCCTCCTCCACTAGTCTTCCACCAATACCTCACCACTTCCCTTCTCGGAGGTTCCTGCACCACTTAGGATACACCCCACAAGAAGATGTAGCCGCTCAAAAAATTATCTTAACAAAATTGTGTCGAGAAAAAATGACAACGGATGAAGGATTTTGACAATCCTACTGAGACAAGAGGAGTCGCATGGTTCATTCTGAAATTCATCGACCCCCCCCCCCCAAGTAACAATAGTTTTTTGAGTGACTGCACAGGAAAAATGTTATGAAAATACCACAGTATATTTTTTTTAGCAGACACTATATCTTAGTACAAAAATTCACAAATTATGCTACAGTTAAAACATCAATCACAGAGGAGAAGACACATATACCCCCTGTACATTGGGTGAGGTGGGTATGATTATATGATGGGTTGAAGTGTACAGAGTGGTTGTGAGGATGACAGAAGAGGAGCATGGTTAAACCGAGGTGTGTGTGTGCTGAAGCTACAAGTACTGTAACACAGTGTGTGTGTTGAAGGTAGACATGGTTAGTAAAGGTATAGTGGAAGCAGATAAAATTTAAGTTTACCCATTAATAATTCATTCACTGCTATTTAATGGAAGGAAGGAATAGATACATGAAGAAATATGTTCAAATGTTACTGTCAAATTTACTTGGAGAAGAGTCCCATCCCACCCTGTGCCAGAGGAGGAAGATATTAGAAAGAGGAAATTATTTAGGATTATGAAATTATAAAAACGCTAAAGTTTATTACACAGACCCACTGTCCATGTTGTCAGATGCTCCACATGATGCCAGTCTCTCCATGTACTTAATGAAAACAAAAACTCAAAATTCACTCACAACATAGCTGGGAAATAATAAATAAAGTTCAATAAGTTTCACACATGGAAAGATTGAAAGCATAATGGCCAAAGCAAGCACAAGCAGACTGTAGGACAGGTGAACGGCTACCATGACCAGTGCGCCCACACGACCGGACCCGACACTCTGCCCACTGACTTAACCACCATAGTAAATCCTAGTAGCTACTGGTGATACATATTATAGTCACATAAACCCACAACATCCCAGAGGACAAACACGTTGATAGTTGTATAATTATGAAGCGTTGACTAACCGGTGGTGGGACGATCCACCCTCCTGGCCACCCGCCCCGATCTGCGGTAAGGGGGAAGGAGCTCCCCTGACCCATCGAGCTCAGTCAGGTCACCGCCAGGCCGGATGCCATCACTGAAAATCACTTGTTTGTTCCCCCGACTCCTAGCGCTACTGCTACTGCCTGAAATATACCAACAAGCCAACTGGTGCTGTTAAAAATACCAACAAGCCAACGGGTGCAGTTACATGTATTGTACAAAGATGCCGCAGATGGCAAGATCATCATTACCAACTGGCAAACTGGATATTTACAACTAGCTTCCCACAAACGTTGCAAGGAGCTACCTACTGTATTTCTATAATAATACACTAAAGACACTCACCACATGGTACTGCACACATTAATAATACTGGCAGCACTGCACAAATAGATGCGCATTTTTTACGCATATCAGTGCAACCGAAACATCCCCTTAATGGTGAACCCCAGTAGAGATCAGACAGGTCAGATTAAGGGTTTCCCACAAGGCTCAAGCAGCCACTGACTACATCCAGCATCAGTCATGGTCATGAGGCAGTGTTGAGGGAAGCAGGCTAGACGTGACATGTACCTGCTGGCGGTGGAGGACTCACCACCTGCTTGGGGTTCATATCTTGGCTGTCCCGGTACAGTATCAAACCCCGAGAAGAGGATGCTTCAGTTGCAGTAACGCCAGTACTGTACTTGATAACTTTGAATAAACTTAAAACATAATTTTAAGACAGAAGCCATCATAACAGGACAGTTGCAGTCCTTAATTATGTAAGCATTTATTGTAATGCATTATGCTGATATAAGATTTATCTTGTCATTTAATCAAGAACCTTTAATCAACGCCCTCAAACAATAATTAAGCTTGCTGGAACTATCGTTGCTGCCCTTCACATTCCAAAATTATTGACAGTGCAAAGTGTAAACTCACTGCACAATGGAATTATTTAATGTACTGTATTGAGAAAGCCAAAGTTTCTTGACTACTTTTGGGAATAGATGGCAAAAAAATAAGATAAGATATCAACTTCCAAATATTTTTCCAAGCATGATGTTGTGTATTGTGTGACTCAACCAGACCTAAGAGTAATCACAAGACTCTTCTTCACTAACTCCCTCTAATTGCCTTAACACTTGAGATCTGTTGCGAGTAGATCTTAGCAGAACACATCTGTAGCACCAGTTACTGTACACAGATGAAGGACAACAAGAGTCTTATTTACACCTGATTCAAGTCATCGTGTGCAGTATTATCATTAGAAAAGGTTTGCAAAAGTGGATATATATATATATATATATATATATATATATATATATATATATATATATATATATATATATATATATATATATATATATATATATATATATATATATATATATATATATATATATATATATATATATATATATATATATATATATATATATATACACAGCTCCTCTCCCACTTACGACAGGGTTAGGGACCCAAATCCAGGTCGTATGTAAAAAATGCTTAAATAATACATAGAAAATCTAAAATGGGTGTCTCTTTTTCTTCTCAGCACCAAAAAACTCTCACTTTTAAGCTTGCCAGCCATTTTAAAGTGAATTACAAACGAAAATTTTCTCTATATACTGACGTTGGGACTCGAAAATACGTAATTTGACAAAATTTTGGTACGACTGAGGCAGGTCGTAAGTGCAGGTGGTCGTAAGTCGAGTACTGTAGGTTGTAAGTCGGGGAGGAGCTGTGTGTGTGTGTTGGGCTCAGAAGCTGAAAAGCAAAATTGTGCATTTGGATTTTACTCTAACCTAACTCAATTCAAACTAACCTAACCCAATCCAAACTAACCTAACCTTTCGCAAAATCTCACTTCTGGTTATTTTCCAAACAACCACAATGCATTGTGGTCGCTTTTTGGTGTCTGAGCCCAACTTATATATATATTGTATATAAAACAAGGACAAAATATTAATAAGAAAAATTATTTTTCTTTAATATTTCTAATTTGAATTTCAGTTTCCAATTTAAAATTATCAAGACAACCAATTTGCATTACTGATCTTGTAATAATGTAGTGTAATATAGTAAATGAATCTGGTCTGCATATTAAACAAAAAATCTTTATTCTAAATTCTAATTCCTTGTCTTATTCCAGTGACAGATTAACTGAGTTAGGTAATCTTCTGTGCTCATTCCCAAACATTACTGGGCCAATGAGGGGTGAGGGTGGCATCGGTGGGGTGCAATACTGATCCCGTAGCTACACTAGGATGGCTGGAAGACCTGGCAGGATATACATAATCACATACTCATAAGGAACCAATTAACATATACATAATATCTCCGTTAGCCGGAATCCCACAAACCCGGAACTCTCCGATAGCCAGAAATTAAATTTTCTCGGAAAATTGTTCCCCGAGCCGTAATTTTCCGGAAACTTCCGGCTTTGGGAAAGATTTTCCGGAAATTCCGAGAAAATTTTTCCGGTACTCAGAAAATTGTGGGGACGGGTGATATTTTCCGGGTTCGAGAGATGACGTATTAGGCAATTTCTTTAACTTCCAAGAACATTTTTCCGATACCCGAAAAATTCCAGGTACGAGGGATCATTTTTCCGGCTTTGAGAGTCGTCTCGCTACCCGGAAATCTTTCATTCCCGGAAGTGCTCTGCACTGGGAGTTCCGGCTAATGGAGATATCACCGTACCGTATAACATTATTACTGTAGCTACATTGTCAGTGGCAATCAGGCAACTTGTTTGGCGAGTGAAATTTTGATGTGTTTTTCAACAAATTACACACTCTGAGCAACACAACTACTGCATGTATGTTCAGAGTAACCAAGACCAAGTAAATAAATGTTTTATTACCAGCCAAATGAGGAATATTCAAAGGGTGATGTGAAGCAGCCCATACATGAGCAGCGACCCCAAGGCCCCTATTACAATATTTACCTTAATCTATTTCATGGTTGGATTGTCTACTAAAAAAAATGAGGAGCTGTGTTATTGCCCTACATCTGTGTCATCATCCCACTTGCAAAGAATAAATATCTCAAGGTCGAGGATGCTGCATACTGCACTTGCATTTCTTGAGTGCCAACATGAGGCCGTAAAGCTGCAGCCAACAACGATGAAAGTTTGACTGGAGAAGAAAAACAACAGCACACCACCACGATATTGAGAGACAAACTGAAACACGGCACTGGTGTAAGTGAGCGGTGCAAGCTTCTGTGATGGGAGATAAGGGGTGACAGATGCCAAGCAGTCAGAGGAGGTAGATGAAGCTGTTTACAACTGGTATAAACACTACAGACTCTCTCTTTCTCATCCACCGGCAGTCATTCAGCATAGTTCCCCTTCCACCGTCAACATTTCCATCAACTTAAGTCATCACCGCACACAACCATTACCAGCCCTTCATTACTCTCAACACAAAGCTTTTTTGCACAAATGTGATTTTTTCCCTTAAGTCCAACCTACAGGAAAATTCTTGATATTATATTGACAATAATCCCCTTCATTGACATAAGTAAATACATAAATATTAATCTTTATAGGAGAGTCGCCTGGGAGTATGCTCTATAATACTTCGTGCTTCGACTGTTCATAGAGGACACAAGAGACTTCTCCTCCAATATACTGTACACTTGGTAATAAACTACCGTACAGGTGGGGTCCAATGATTTTCCAACTGAACATTGCCTTTGTCTCACAAGGGTCGGTAGGCCTGAATGTGAGACATTTCGTACTTAATTTGGTAGGCCAAAATTAGCTATTTCATTGAAAATATTAAATTACTTTATTACAATATATCTAGATATCTAGATAAGTTAAACTATGTTATATTAAATGTTCCACACACCGTGAACTACAGTAACCATGGAAGTGGATGAGTTGCCATATAGTAATGCATTATATGTTTGGCAGAATTAGTCGATATAGTAAAGTTATAAGATTATTTTGCAACTAAATTTCGAATCTATTTGTATTGCTACTTCACTTTGGGCTAATGCCACATTATGTCATTCTTTATTTGTATTGGAAAATATATCATGCTATTCTGAAACATCTGAATAGCTCCACAGTTCATATGACATACACATTCTTTATGTAAGATATCAGGAAATGTTGGTAGCACTAATTACATAAATCACAATATTAGGCTGCTACAACACCGCTCACAATGTGTATTCGACATGGAGAAATGAGGCATAGAGTTCCGATCAAGTTTCAATTGTGTTAGTGTGGCAGCACTAACTCTGATACGTTTCAGAGTGTCGATTACTTGTTTCGAGCACGTGTGGCCAAACCCATACATGCGCAGGGCTACCAATGCGATGAATGCCTCAGGGGCTTTTACGAAACACTTCGTTTGCAGCGTCAGTTTGTTTCGTGCAGGAATTGTAACGGTAGTTTTTTTACCGAGTGTACAACTGTACATGTCCTGCAGTCAGTCCCTAACCCAGGTCATGCATCATGTAGTTTGAGTCAAATGTACTGTGTTAAACTTTAGCCACCTACCCGTGACCATAAAGCCACCTGTTCGTAACCATAGGAGCAGCCGAAACAGAAGCACACAAAATAAAATGGTTCCCCTTCTTGATATGTGACAATCTTGAAGTAATAAAGTCTTTCTTCTCACAATTAAAATATGTTGATAGAATTATTATTTTACTCTCTGATTAATCTTAAATACTCTATAAATTAATCACAAAAACATTCCCATTAAACTTATAGCCAAGATTAATTTTTTTATACATTTCAACATAAATTTACACTTTATTATATTAGTTACAATACCCATATTTAGCTGAAAGCAAATGTGAGGAAAATCAGATGAAAATACACACCACAAAAATGGCTATTGGTCTTGAAGTTATGGTTCGGTGTTGAATACTTTAACACTAATAACCCACGTCAAGAAAATACAGTTCACTGAAATACAGTACTGTACCTACGACCTCAACTGTCAAAAACCTGAACAAACCACAGCCACAAACTTGCCAGGTTCCACCTAACCATACAAGCTAAACATCTGCTTCCAGTCAGTCTTGTATGTGATCAACACAAAAAACACGATTGTGATATGTAGAAAAGTGATCAGCTGGACATTCACTAGATATCCAAAATCATGAAGTGCGCACAAAGTTGTAATCATAAAAAAAGCCTTAAAAGCAAATAATAAAATAAAAATGTCAAAGCAACCATAAGAGCACAAAATTATAGCTGTGAACTCTCAAATAAGCAGGAAGTTTATGTGATGCCTCCATGCACTCTACCTGTTACTGTCACTTACCCTCACGCTTCAGAACACCGACAGGAACCATTACAGTGGGAGGGGGAACAGTGGCCGAGGCAGCCACTTGCTGGGGAGGAGGCACACGGGAACAGTACTCCATGGGGTTATTAGGGTCTGGTGGGCGTCTTTGTCCGTCGGGCTGCTGCCGACCTTGTCTCATATCTCCGTCATGTCCGTCTTCTTGTCCTTCGAGGTGATAGAGATAAATTAGAATTTTTAATACTCGACAGCTGTTAAATATGTCATGAATGATTCTCTGTTCAAAAATAACTGATTAACCCTCTTCCATTCTCATTTGTAAGAGCGAAACAAATGAAAAAACCAGATTCGAAAAATGTACGCAAAATAAATACAGCAAAATGTCTCGTTACCGTAGTAGGCACCAGGTAGTTAGGTAGTAGGCAGCTACCAAATAGGGAGGTATTACTGCCTGGGAAGATATTGGAAGCATAATGTATTGCCTAATGGTAGACCCTGCTACCATATGGCATCACAAAAAATGTGACCAAGTTCCAGGCTGCTGATCTGTCTTTCTGCCTCATTTACACACAATTGCAAATATCAATTTTTCTCTTACTTGACAACACAACATACATACTGTACAGTACAGCATTTCTCACAACTGATTATTTTCTTTATAGTTCTTTATTATTATTATTATCATTATTATTTTATTTTACTTTTTAGTATAAATTTTATTTACTATGAATAATTATTACATTTTTGCCCCCCAGGCCCCGATGTGGACCAGTGACCTGTGGGCTAATCCACGTAAAATTGGCTGATTTCTCCCATGATCCCTCCCACAAATGCAATACTGTTGTCCAATGATGGGAATTACCAGGAGTAAATTCTGTCACAAGAGGACTTTTAATATCAAAATTTTTCAACTGTCCAATAAATGAGAGTAAAGAATATTTATCTTATGAGAAAAAAAGAGATATAATATGTAGAGTACAGACAAAATTGATTATGATTAGTGTAACTAACAAAGGTCTCAGAGTCACCCATTACAGACTGAAAGAAAACTCACTGCCTCCCACCTTTACAACCAAGAGCCACAGCAGCTGTAGTGATGATATCATCAGTGTGGCAGGTTTTGTGGACAACCTTCACATATGGGAAATCTACAAAACCAACCAGACCAAGTACAGTAGTATTGGCAGGTCCTACCCAACAACACACACACAACTCTTAAGAAAGCATCAAGTGTCCCTGGAGTGAAGGTCACAACTGTGCACATATAGTAGTAGAATTGTACAGGTGTATCATTCAATGTAAATTAGTCCCCCTTTCTCCTTCTGCCAGGAACTAATTAACAAAATAATTAGAAAAACCAATAATATTTTTTTTATTCTCATACTGTGCCAAGTACTGTATAAACACTCGGCCATATTTTTTAAACGCTCAGATTACTTATTATTATCCCGAGAGCGTCCTCCGAGCCATAATTCGTTGTTTTAAACAAAATATACGCGATTCGGTTTGGGTTACTATTTAGTAATCTGAAATTATTATTGGAACATTCAGGATAAGTCCTCGGGTGTGGATAGCACCCGAAAGACTTATCCCAAATGTTTATACTAGTTTTATATGAATAGAAAAAGTATCTGAAATCCAATATACAGTACAGGTACAGGGTATAGTCTGGGTTTAAGCGGATATTTTATTCATGGACGGCCATTTAAACGGCACCTATCCAGAAGCGATAATTATTATTTACGCAGTAAATGCCATCACATACGCTGTATAATGTATACTCCTACACTTATTTTTATCTTTATAGTACCCTGTACTGTACAGTATAGTTTTCTCTTTATTCATAAGACAAATTCTGTGGTTACTTACATATAACACTTTACAGTAAATACATTAACAATAATCTCGGTGGCAACCAGACTTATATGTCTGATTTTCAACCCAGAGAGTTCTGTTTCATATTTTTTTTTCTTGTTGATGTAATATTCTTTTAATAACCTTGTTATACACTTAAAGACCTTAGTTGTTACAGTAATAAAATAGCCCCATATATTCGCTACTTTCACATTTTTCGGACTGGGGTCTGCCCCAATTAGTCCGATTTATTGAGGTTCTACGGTATGTAAATTATGATGAGATAATAAAGAAAACAAATATTTAAATCTCTCCATTGCACTTCTCACAAATTATCTAACATGGCAATCATCCTCTCGTAGCCTCAATTACAATAAAGAATACCTTGTTTTTGTGATCAATAGATGTAACATCATTTCCAAATAGCCAATGTAATATAAACAGTATAGGAAAGATCCAAGATGAGCCAAATGTGCTTGGTATACTGTTGAGGTAATAGTTTAGGAGTGTCAAGTGTGACCGGTGCTCATAATTACCTTAGAAATTTTTTCCAAGCAATGTTTCACTGTTTGGGTTGTAGTTCTGGTGCTGCTTACAGTAGGTACTACCAATGTTTGTTAGGTTAGGTTACATAAAATATTTTTTTAGAGGTTATGTTCAAACCCAGGGCCGGATTAAGGCCAATTGATGCCCTAAGTAGAGCTCAACAATGGTGCCCCCTTGGCCCTCCCATTGCTTAACTGACAAAATATTAAGACCATGATTAACACTCAATGAATACTGATGTTGAAATATAAGATAAAAAATTCAGGTTTTTTTCCAGGCCATCCCACATAAGTTGAATTTTCTCATCACTGATGTTAGACTAGAACAAATACTGTACAGTTAAAGACAATTAAGAAATAAAAACAAAGTGTTAAGTTTTTCCAACATTTGATAATTATAAAATCATTTAAATTAGAAAGTTTTGATTTAACCTTATTTATTATAACAACTAGGCCTAGAGTTACTGCTCTTAATTTAGTAACACAATATATTTAAATACTGTACTGTAGTTAAAATATCTACCTCTTTATTTTGTAAATATAAAGTAATTTAATTACCGTAACGAAAAATTCAGGAACTTGTTACTTCACACAATCCACATCAAACCACACGTAAAAATAGACACATTTCGTTGATACTGCAATAGCCCGAGTGAGGGCCGAGAGGCGAGGGAGTGAACTCAGACAATTTCTGAAGTTCGGGAACGTTCTTGAACGCGTATAAAATAAAGCCGTTTTTCATTGGGCAACAGTACAGTACTATGATTTTATATTCTCCATCAAGAGGAAAAAGCAGTAAAGGTACAGATATAGAGACCTTTAGAGTCATCATAAGAGACGAATGCCCATTGCATTTCTCTTCCTTATCTGATTACCAACTAACCTGACTGTAAGATCTGGAGACAAGGTCCACAGACCCTTGCCTCCTTGTAGTCCATGTATGGTAGAGGAGCCTTGTGGTGACAACACTGGGCACACAGGACGCGTCCACATGCTCGACAGTGGTGACGTCGACGAATCACAGTGAACTTTAGGCCACACTCTTGGCAGTTTGGTGCATCTTCGTCTGGGATCCAAAACGGAGCCACGTGACCGACAAGACTTCCGTTGCCTTCACTAGGGTTGCCAGGGTTGGAAGAAGCAGCAGCTTCTCCGGCTGCCAGAGCTCCACCGCTGCCATCATCTTCTCGACCAGAACCACTGTCGTCATCGTACACAGCAGTCACTAAGGCCCCTGCAATGACAAAATAGCTGGAGTTCACAGTTGGCTGATAACAAGCAGAGAATAGAACAGTACATAGATGCTACCAGAAAAACAAACAAGACTAACAAGTGATCTAGATAATGGTGGCTGAGGGGCAGTGAACACCCAGGTCCAGCTACATTGTGGGCTTAGAGTTGATCATACATAATGTATAGGTAGATAAAACATCTCACCTGGTGTGACCCGTGATGGAGATTCAGGCTCAGCAACAGGCTGCTGGAGTCTTCTTTCTGGTGAGCCAAGATCACCGTCAGTGAGAGTACTGCTGGAGGACATTGTATCTGTGCCTGTGCTGTTACTAGACAAATTATCACCCGTGTCTCTCTCTCTGTAGTTTTCTGTGGCTTCTCCTCTTTGACTTCTGTGAGGGTGACATATTACTTCCTCAACACCCTCAGTACCAGGGTGGTTGGAGAAGCTAATATTTTCCTGGGCTGCAATATCTGGGTTCCCAACCAAGGAACTCTGTCTTTCTTCAGCATCACTGCCGTATCTCTGCCATGCTGGTACTTCAGGTTTTGGATTCTCTTCAGTTGCTGCTGAAGCACCTGTAGTTTGTGCTGCTTCACTGCCACCCAGGTCAACACCTAGTATGGGCTGAGAAGTACTCGTGCCACCTATCAAATCTGGACCCCCAGACAAGTTGGCTTCACATGTACTTTGAACTTCAGGGTGAGTGATCTCTCCTGTACTGTCTTCTTGACTGCTGGTCAGTGATCTTGCCACACTTCCACCATAAGCTCCCTGTAACCGGAACTGTTCCTCTTCCAGCTCGGCAAGCTCGGCGTCGAGATCGGCATCATCTATGTCAGAGTTCTTACTGAAGCTGATGGGAACAGTACCAACAGCACTCACATCCGGGAGAGATGACTGTGTTGGTGGCTGTGGATCCACTCTCACAGCATCAACAGAATGAATTTCGTCTAATCTAGCTACATTATCACAGACTTGGTTTATATGATCCTGGAGAATACCAGGAGCATCATCAATGCCATGAGATACACCGTCAAGAGATGCATGACTCATGTCACCCGTGGCAGGTGTATTACACAAAGTCCCTCCTGCCACAGATGAAGGTGTATCTGTATGTCCCTGTTGTTCAGCAGTTTGGTGAACATTTACAACCTCAGGTATTCTACTGCATGACTGACTCTCCATTACAATAGCAGGTTCATTCAAACGTAAATTAGAAAGTGCATTTTCCATTACAATTGCAGGTTCATAGTACTCTGGACCACTGTATGTTCCCTCACTCACTGCTAAATTATCAACACTATTCATTGCCATAAGGTCAGGCAGTAGACGGTGTTCCTGCTGTTCTACACAGTTTGCAGATCCACTTGCACCTTCATTATCCACTTCCTGGGACTCACCGTTACTTTGTTCGTGATCTACAACTTCTGGACGTACTCTGTCACTAGGCTGGGACGCCGATGCACTCGCCTCTGCACCACTCTGCCACACGTCAATTATATCTGGATGTCTCGTTTCGTGGCCACCAGCGAGCCCTCTGTCGGGAGGCACACTTGCTGGCACCACATCCAAAGGTCTTGATGCAATGACGTCAAATCCTTCACGGGGAATATTTTTACTCGAGACACCGACGACTGCATTTCCTTCGCTTTCAGAGGTGGCAGAGCTGCTCTCCGGAACCCCAGGTATGTGATAGTCTGGAGGCATGGCAGGTACTCGAGAGCTAACATTACCGGTGCCTGCACTACCACCACTTACAGGTAAACCAAACCTTTCAGCTGCATAAGACTCTGCCTGGACACTGGGCATAGGAGCTTGAGAGAAGCTGCCTGCTGCAGATGTTGCTATTACCGGCCACAGTGCCTGTGAGGTGGCCGAATGCTGATTCATGAGCATATTTCCTGGTCTGACGCCAGAGTCCAGGACGTCGCCCGAATGCAACTGTGATACTTGTGGAGGTGGGAGCTGTGCGCCGGGAAGATACGGAAGTGAAGGAGGTGGCTGAGAGCAAGCTGCAGGCGGCTCACTGTCATCATTCTGGCCGTCAGGTGGGCTCCGTGTGCCAGGTGGTTGGGCCTCTCTGTCCAGTCCTACACCACACCATGGTTGAGAGGCAGCACCAATTGCCTGAGGTTGTAAGGGCTCACTCCACCCACCAAAAGTGCCCAACCCTACACCATGCCTCACTGGTGGTAGAGTCCCCCCTCCATCTGGGCAGAACTCTAGCTGCAATTTCTCATACTGGTTTACAGATTCACTCTCATCTGAAAATATATAAAATTCACATAAAGTAATTGAAAGATCACCAACACGGTACAATACAGTATATAACTCCAAAATAAAAACAAACACAAATACCCTGTACAGTACTGTATGAAATCACTGCCAGAACAATTTATAAAACAATATGTAACTAGTTCTGTACTATATACAGTATATTGATATAATTACCTTCATCTAACTCAAAGTCATCCAACACTTTATCAAGATCAACAGCAAACTTCTCCATGGTCCTTTCATACCGTGTTCTGGAAGGAAAAAATACAGGTACAAGGAACAGTAACTAAACAAACAGGCAACACACGTCTTTCTCAGCCAGGAGATGACAAATGCCCCCACAACACAGACTATCAAAATACTCACTACAGGTACAGTACAAACTTCACTTTAACAAGTTTTACATTAAAGATTCATCAGAATAACGACAGTCATGAAATGTGACACCTCAACACATTACTGATACATTTCAACACAATAACGATCAGTACCGCAAGTTGTAGTCACTCTGGGAGACCATCTTGATTACGTCAGCGAGCGGGGTGGTTTGTTTTGATCAGAGTGTGTGAACAGTAGGTATGGTGTAACCTACTGCTGCTGCTGCTAAATGTTTTAGCACAAGATGACATTCAAGAGGGAGATGACGGCACTGTTCAAGATTTACCTGTAGTAAGTGACCTGTTAGATGATTTACCACTAGACTTGACTGAAGGAGCAGTGTGAGAGTGTGGAGGCAGGGGGACACTAACACCACTCCCCTGCCTCAGATGACAGCAAACAGTCTCATTAAACAGTTATTATTAGTTATTAACTTTATATGCAGTACGCTGTATTAATGTGTGTGAAGTAGTGGTTGTATTTTTTGGTGGGGCTATAGGGGGTGAGTGAGTCTGAGGGCTGGTACCAACTGACCCATTTAACATGTAAATTATACTCACTACATTAACGACCGTTTTTGTGGTACCAATTAGTCATTAAAGTGAAGTATGGACTGGAGTCAAATTTCTGAAAAGATATACAATTCTCCCATTAATTACTATATCATTTAGTCAATTAATAGTTACTTTTAATAATTGGAACTCAACTACAGTCGACCCTCATTAAAACGGACTAATAGGGGGGGGGAAGGGTGTCCGTTTTAGCCGATTGTCCGAATTAACCGATTTAGGGGTTAATATTGCATTATACAGCTTTGTGTATGTTTATTTGAGTGCCCCGTCATAGGAGTCCGTTTTCTCTCACTTCAGCACTCCTGAGTCGTCCGTTTTCTCTTAATCTTAGAGTGCACCAGAGACTGTTATATCTTAGTAGTGACACAGAATTTGATATTGCAACTGGGGTTGCAATTGTTGAGGCAACTTAGGTATGTCTGATTACAGTTGGAATATTCAAGATCCATTGTGAGTGATGTTTAAAGCTTCAACTGTCTTTATGGTTGGTAAAACTTGTCAAGTCTGTCAGTCTGAATGGCATGTGTGAGGCCTTGTTTTTGTACAACCGCTAAATATATAAATATATAATGTTATGATAATTATCAGAAACACATAGGCATAACGAGGTTTATTACAAAGTGATGAAAAGGATACTGTACAGTGGCTAGTCCACAAACATGTGGCCATGTCTCTTTATTTGAGTGCCCCGTCATAGGAGTCCGTTTTCTCTCACTTCAGGACGCCTGAGTCGTCCATTTTCTCTTAATCTTAGAGTGCACCAGGGACTTTGTTATTTCTTAGTGGTGACACAGAATTTGAAATTGCAACCCCAATTGCAACTGGGACAATCCCAGAAATTTGATATGGACAGTTCAGATTTCGTCCGATTTATCCAAAATCCGGATTAAAGGGGTCCGAATTAACGAGGGTCGACTGTACAGTGATCCCTCGGTTAACAAAATTTCGGTTAACGAATTACTTTCCATAATAATCTTCAACTCGATTAACGAACAAAAATTCGGTTAACGAAATCCTTACGAAATCGTGTCAACATATTTTCGCCTGTTCACCAGCTGTAGTATTAGTCCACCAATACAGTAATCGGTTCTAGGGCTTAAATTCGTTCTCATTTGAGTAAATATCAAGTACATTTTTACAGTACAGTAGAAGTCCAAAAATCCGGACTGCTTGGGGATTGGGTCAGTCCGGAATTTCGGATTTTCCGGATTCTCAGGCAGTACTTTTAAAATTAAAATTTAAGGAGGAATAAAGAAGAGATGAACAGGTACATTTTGATAGTTTATTCATTAGCAAATATAGCATGCTTCAATTATCAAAACGAGCAGTTTAAAGAAAAATAAAGTCAACACTTGACAAAAATGTCTAATACAGTGGTCCCTCGGTTAACGAGCACAATCCGTTCTAGAAGGTTGCTCGTTAACCGAAACCACTGTTTCAATGGGTTTTTGGGTAATTGGTTCCAGCTCACCGAAAATTGCCTAAATTCAACAAAAAAGGTAGAAAAGTACACTTACTTTGAGGTGTATATGTAGAAGGCTCCTGGATGATGATGATGGGAATTAGAATGGGGGTGGAGAAGGGAGAAGAGAAGTCACCCCATGGCACCATTTCACCCATAAAATTTTAGTTCTCTTGGTGTAATTCAAGATTATTTCCTTTAAATCAACACTGCACTGCATTATATATTGTCAATATGTAAAATAAATTTCAAAATGACCAATAATTTGCTTGGAAACACAGAAAAAAAGCGTTTAGTTGAAGAGAGTCTCAAGCTAGATGTTACCTCCACTGAAAACAGAGAGAGTCTAACGCCTGTCTGGTGTGTTAACAGGCTGGATGGCATGCCAGAAACTAGTTTCTTTACCTTCAATTATGTTCAATAATTGTTAAAATGACTAAAAAAGTTAATATTAAACTTTTAAAATTATTGAATAGTATAAACTTCTTGATATTTACTAAAATAGTAAGGAATTTAAGCCCTAAAACCGATTACTGTATTGGCGGACTAATACTACAGCTGGTGGACCGCCAAATGCAAGCGAAAACATGTTGAAGTCGGCTCGTAAAAAAATCGTTAATCGAGGGATTGCTCGTTAACCGAAGTTAAGAATCTTATGGAAGGTAAATCGTTAACAGAAATCTCGTTAACCGAGGGACCACTGTACCACTAGACAAACTGTCTAATACCATGACGAGTCTTGAAATTCCTAAGCCATCCATCACTAAATGCGCACTCTGATTCAATGTTCATTTGCTCCTTAAAAGACTTTGCTTTGGCAATAAGCATCGGCCCAGAAATTGCCATACCTTCTGATCATTTTAACAAAAACCATTCGTGCAACACTTTATCAAGATTTTCTAATTTGGGCCAATGTAAACTTTTTCTTTCAGCAATTTTAATGTAAGGCTCAGAAGAAGCTGTGAATTCTAGAATTTTATTCTTTGCCTTTATTATATCATAAATTGTAGACTTTCCAATGTCGTATGTTTACATTAGAACAGCATTGCTCACACCACGATCTAGTTTCTTAATTATTTCAAGTTTGTCACTCAATTTCAATGTGTTCTTTCTCTTCACACAATGAAGTTTATCTACTTTAGGGGCCATTATTATGGGCTTGTACTCTGTACATGGAAAGAGTAGGACTCAAAATTACATACGTTGTCACAGTTTGATTGCTTGTTTTAAAGTGGCGATCGCGTGGTCGTTTGCTGTCGCTGTGCAGCTGTGGCATTCAGGCATGCACACCTACACACAAAAGATTTATAGTGCCTCAAATTTTACATTTCAGTTCAAGCTAATTACAAAACTAACAAAATTAGCTACCTATAATTTACAATTACTTTTATTATTAGAATTATGTAAATTAATTTTTTAAAGCAACTCCATTCATTCATGTAACACACAAAAGCCCGCTAAATTTAAAAAGTTTGAGTTTTCGAAAAGTCCGGATTCTCGGGTGGTCCGGATTCCTGGCATTCGGATTTTTGGACTTTTACTGTACAATTGGTCATTCTGTTATTTATTTCACATATTGACAATATATAGTGCAGTGTTGATTTGAAGAAAATAAACTTGAATTACACCAAGTGAACTTAAAATTTTATGGGTGAAATGGCAGCATGAAGCATGGGGTGATTTCTCTTCCACCCCCACTTCCTTCTCTTCTCCCTTCTCCTCCACCCCACTTCTAATTTCCATCATCATCAACCAGGAGCCTTCTACATGCACACATCAAAGTAAGTGTACTTCACTGCATTTATTTTTAGTTTGTATGTAATTTTCGGTGAGCTGGAACCAATTACCCAAAATCCCATTGAAACAATGGTTTCGATTAACGAAATTTTAGGTTAACAAGCGACCTTCTGGAATGAATTGTGTTCATTAACCGAGAGACCACTGTAAATATATATGCAGTAAAACCTCCATATAACGAACTTTTATACTCCATATACGTAATGCGTTAGGTGGGGAGTTCACATCTTACGGACCCTAGATATAACAGATTTCCATCTCTATATATTCACTAAGTATTTAAATCCTACAATGTGATATTCATAGCTGGTGTAGTTTACCTCAACAGCTAGTAGACAAAGATACCAACAAGGACTCATCATAGTGGCTCTGTAAACATGATTACAAAGTGTCAAATCATCATCACTGGCCTGACTCTTAGGGTACTGTAGAAATAAACTACTGACTGTTTGACTGACTGGTTAGTTTTGTATCATTGGCTCAATGACTGAGTTTGGTTATTTCTGTGTCACTCTGGCTAAATAACTGCATGACTGAACCAAATTTAATCAGAGTGTCGTCAGCTTCAATATACGACATGTTTTCACGAGTTTCACCTTTTTCTTTTGATAACATAATCTGCCAATTATTAACATTTGCCGGTTAAGTAGATAATATAATCGTTTCCTGTTTCTAATACAGCATCAGAATCATACATATAAATATATGACAGGAAGATATTTTTTCTTTTTCAGGGAGCCAACAGAATGTACTAGAACTAAAGCTATGATAACAGTTAATGTAGCAGTAACAATGGCCGTGTGATAGGGAATGATATGAGGACTTTGGCAGGTGTCTGGCTTATCTGTTACAATGGACAGGGCAATACAGTACTACACCCTAAAATTAATTAAATAGGCTTCCTTACATGTAATTTTAAGATATGCACAGCTTTTCATAAATGCATCTACAATGAAATCTCCATTAAACAAACTTCTCTCCCTGCACAATCTGCATAGCTTGTCAGATGGAGGTTTCACATCTAACTGACTTTCTCCTCCATGTAGTCCATTAAATAGAGGTTTTACTGTATTTCACAAACTTTTAAGCGAGTCATATGTTTTGGTTCTTTTGTAATATTTTTTCCAGCAAATTTTGACCTACAGCTGCTGTCAGTAAAGTAATAGCTGTAATTATTGTCACCAACTGTTGTGTTGGTGTTCATTGGGGTTTTCCAGTAAAATGGTTGTTTTAATTACAGAATGTGAATATGAACAAACCAATAACTAGTCCTTTGAGTCAACCTATGCACCTACAGGATATTCCGTTAAATTTTTATTCATTATTTAGTCGATGCAAAATTTTCCTTCGGCGTCGTAGCCCAGCGGACCGGTCAGCTCACTACAGGATTAAAGTAACATTTTAACCCCTTGTGTATGGGGGGATCTCTGCTCTGAATATAACCATCTGGAGTTATCCAAATAAAATATAAAAAGTGGCGTCCCTGTAGTGAAGAGGTTAAACATTAAGACAAACTCTCTGGGAAAATTTTCAAAACGAAATATATGTTAATAAGTGCAGCCATTCTCCCATTATTTAACGAGCTGTTTTTTACGAGAACTCAATAAATGGGAAGAAAATACGACCTATTATCGCTGCTTTATATCTCAACATTAAAGTTTCCAAGTTAATTGATTTTGGCATTTATAGTAACTTGATAGTTAGATAAACACATATAGACAATAATTAACTAAAATCAACATAAAACTTCACAGACAAAACAGACATACAAACAATAATAAAACGAAATATAACACATTCACTAAAAGAAACTACAAAAAGCTGTTGTCTTGAGTCATGTGACGATTACAGGTAGAAATATACGAGTAATAATGACACATGGTAATAAAACGACTACCCAGTGTTATAACAGATGTTTGAGAGATAAATGAGGATTAAATTATACATAAAAGCTACACAAACTTATAATTCCTTCAAGCAAATCGTCAAAATCAGCCCAGCAGAACATATCCTTGACACAGTGAACGAGGCAGCCATCACCAACTCGAGTGTTCCTCACACGTCCAAAACACCTGACCAGCGCCTGTATATTTACCTTAAATCATCTCACGGTGTCTCGGAGGTGGTATGAAAGAGTCATAAGCGCGGAAAATGTGGTAAAGTAGAGGTATAATGAGGTGAAGTCATAGACGTCACTCACGGACAGAAAACAACAACAGTACCGCCCCGATGACGGTCACCAGGCGCACTGTATTATGTTCCCACACTACCACGGACATGATAAACTATTGACATTTTAAGCTTTTTATATTCTTTAAACCTATTCTAACTATTATTAAATTACAACAATACAGTTGTGTAATATATTATTATGTTTATAATGTCTTTGTCAGAATATATAATTAATTTAATGATACCTTTTCCTGTTATTTTTTCTTAATTGTATGTGTTTGAAAGCAGATAAATCTAATTCAACCAACTTAGATCTGCTTTAGTTACCATACAAGTATTCTAAGTTTAACTAATATATGATTGCTTGCTCTAGTATTCCTCATATATACAAATGATTCCGCAATTCTTTTCGTGGTACTTTACTTAACATTATTACCCTGCCTGCGCAATAATTTCAAAACTAAAGTGGATGAATAGTTCCCTAAAATGTACATCAACCTTTTTTCTTATTTATTTAACTTACATATCTAACTTATGCCAAAACAAATCAGATTCCCGGGTTATTATATGTAGTTCCTCTTTACAGGTATTTCATTAAAGATAAGATGAGGTACATATGAAGTGCTAGTTTTTTTGGCGGAGAAAGTATTAAGTTTTGAAAGAGATTTTTTTTTACGGGGAATAGCTCAACCGGGCATAGGTCATCGAAAAAATAAGTGTAGAAAGAAATTGAAATAGAAAATAAAAGATTGTATAAATCAATACCACAAAGAAGCCGGAAAACCAGTAAGAGATACTGAAGAAGGGGTAGGGGTATTTAAAGGGAGGGGGAGGGATATTTAAAGGGAGAGGTAGGGGGTATTTAATAATAATAATAAACGGTTTATTGAAAAAGTTTGCAGCCCGAAGGCTGAAAATATACATTGGTCATAAATGACTTATTACATTGTAGTGGATTTCTCCCCTACAAACGCTGTTTGTCGCTGAGTAGCCGACCCCACCAATTCCCCAGTGTATGCCTCGTGGTCTGGGTCAACCAGCGCCGCCATACATCACGGAGCGGGGGTCAACTACTAAGCCACGCCTACCCCCCACTATTTAAGACCTGACCTCGTGGTGATCTCCCCTAACCCTCTCTCACCATGAACGGTTACGAGTTTGATTACGTGGCGCGGATACGTCCGGATACGCCGACCTGCCCCAAGAAACTAAACCTCCTAGTTCTCCAGAAGTTTTTTGAAACTAATGGGATCGTGGGGGTCACCAAGGTGGAACGTCTAAAGCTCCATGGTGACATCAAGATCACCTTCGTCGAGAAGGGCATGCCCGTACAGCTCGCGGAGATCCCAGACATCAACGGCATTCCTTTTAAAATGATTGCCTACATGTGGGACAACTTGAAGCTGGGTGTAATCTCCCACGCCGAAATTGCCCACATGGACAAAGTAGAGCTGAGTGAGCTCCTCAAGGGGCAGCAACTTCGAGTTGTGAAGAAGCTGTCCGACACCACTGCCCTCATCGGACACCACTCCACCTTACCCAAGGAAGCTCAACTGGCCCTACTGCAGACCGAAATGGTGTTACAAATGCCAACACTATGGACACACTGTAAACAAGTGTGAGGCGCAGGAGGACACCTGCTCCATGTGTAGCAGCCCTGGACACCGCTACACGGTCTGCCCCAACAAAGTTAAAAAATGCGCTGCTTGTGGTGGCCCACACACCTCCGCCGATCGGACCTGCCCCAAATGGAAGGAGGAATGCAGGGTAGCCAAGGCTCGTCTTGAGAAGAAACTGAGCTACAAAGAGGCCCTCCTTGCTGTATGCTCCCAAGAAAATAAAAAACCAGCAGAAAAGAAAAACCAAGAAAAGAAAACCCAAGAGAAGACGCCCACCACACAGAACCAAGAACACCACGAGGCCCGTGGAGCTGAAGCCCACGTGGTCAACCTCACCGTCTCTGACTTCTTCCACACCTATGAGAACTTAATACACGAGCAAGACGAACAACAAGACCCAAACACAAACGAATGGACACTTCAAGAGAGCAAGAAGAGGAGGAGAGTGAGAATAAAATCGACATCAAGCTAAGAAGACCAAGACATTTCCTCCACACAAGAAACCAACACACACAATCAAGCCGACCAAGCACTGAACATCCATTGCCCAACCCAACACGCACCTGACGCTAGCCTGGCTCTGTCTTGTCGCCTCCCGGCCGCGTCCAGGCGAGTTGCTGCTGCCTCCATCTTATAATCCCTCACGCAAGCGGTGTTTAGCCACTGCATCTGTTCTCTCCTCCTAAAATTCACTTCAATCCTCACTTTATTCTTCCCCTGAACCTCCTTCCCCCCTGTCACTAGCATTTTCGATTCGGGATTCGTGATCTCCCTCTTTTCTACCTACACCAACCAGCCAGCAACACCTCCTCCGCCGCTGCCTGGCGGCCCTCGCTCCTCCTCCTCCGCCTGCCTGGCGGTCCTCTCTCCCGCCGGCGAGCATGGCGACCCACAAGCTGTCCTTCTCTGAGCATCCTCACCAAACAGCTTTCTCTACATCACGCTTGTAACCATGCTGCCTTCCCAGCACCAAGCTGCATTGTACATCCAATACAACATGTATATAGAGAGCACATTGTGAGTTTCCTTTCTCCATTCCATCCTGAGTGTGAACCAAACATCTTGAACCCCACAACATACATTGGTGGTTTAACAAATTTAAAGGAAGAGGTAGGAGGTACTTATCATTTAAAGGGGGTACTTTTTTACTTTTTACTTTTATCGTCTTCGCCGCTTGACCGGTCGGTCACGTCTCTGTTACACACTGTTGGCATGTACTGTCTCCAGTGGCGGCTCGTGAAAAATAAAATGGAGGGACTGCAAGCCTCACACAACAGTAGGATACACAAATTTGACCTACCTCAGGTATGAGTTGTAGTTGATGTCCACGAATTCCCAGGGCATGGTAGTAGTGTTGGTGGTGATGGACCAGTATTAATTGAAAATAAAGTCGGCGCGTCTGCTCTTCGATGTAGCAAAATTGTTTATTACTATTTCATTAAAATCCTTTATTTATGTTATCATTTTATTTTCAATGGATATCACTGCTAAAGCAGACAGTCTGTCATTCACCATGGTACTGCGCAAAAAAGTTTTAATTCTCTTCAAAGTTGAAAAGCACCTTTCTGCTTCTGCCGTTGTCATTGGAGTTGTTATTAAAATTTTCAGCAACTTGACAGTGTCTGAAAATGTTGACTGTAGATTATTGTCATTCATCATCTCCCCACCAAACAATAAGCATGGAAAGCAGAATAAAGTATTTGCCTCGTCACAACCACAGAGCCATTCACATTTCTGATAAACACTGATGTTAAACTGGCGTGTATATTCTTTGTTCCTGCTTGTACTGTTCTGTTGAATGGATAAAACTGGTGTAGGTCTTCCTCTTGCTTTGATTTCAGTCTTTTCATTTAATGTCAGCTGGGAAAAGTTGATGTTTTGCAAATACTTCACTCTATTTTCCATCGTCAAAGGGTAATTAAAGAAAGCACGATTTAACCACACCGTTCACACGTTGTACGAGACTGAGCTGCTTCAAGTGCAGCGGCGGCGGCGCCAATTAATAACAGACATGAATCGTACAGCATTGACAGCAACTATGAAAGTAACTTAAATTTTGGTCTGATTTTAATGAAAATTCACTTAGCAACGTATTGAAAATAATTAAATAACATATAAAATGATATATTTGTTGGTAGTGTATTATTCAGCTGTCTCTCTAAAGGAATCATACGCCTGGCAGTGAGTGTCTGGGGGGACTGCAGCTCTGCAGCCCTATGCACGAGCCGCCACTGACTGTCTCCATAATGTATCTGTACCTGTTCTAGTGTTGGTCACGTCTTGAAAGAGCTCACACTCGCTGCCGTCACAACACTCTGGCAGATTGTTCTAACAGTTCACAATTCTCATTCCGAAAAAGTTTGCCCTGCTAATTTTCTGAACTTATGGCTTCTTCAACCTTAATCTGTGACCTCTACTGTGGCGGGCATATTATGTCTCTCTGGAGGTATGGTCTTACAGGTGAACTATAGACCTGTATCTCCCTGTCTGTATACAGCAGTCATGTTTGTTTACATCATGGGAGAGCAAAAGAGAACGGGCTGTTGTGTACCACTGTGCTGCGTCTTCATATAAAAAGGTTTACGAATTAAAATTAATCTAATTGTTGATCGAAGATATTTTATTAATACCCCAAAATAAAGTACATAAATATATATAGTTTTAAAATGGGTTAGGTAATTGATGGACGATTCTTTTATGAATATACATTATCTATCTCTCTCACCTTTTCACCACACTCTACTATCTCTTTCTCACCCCTTCACCACACTCTACTATCTCTTTCTCACCCCTTCACCACACTCTACTATCTCTTTCTCACCCCCTTCACCACACTCTACTATCTCTTTCTCACCCCTTCACCACACTCTACTATCTCTTTCTCACCCCTTCACCACACTGCTGCTATCTCTTTCTCACCCCTTCACCACACTCTACTATCTCTTTCTCACCCCCTTCACCACTCTACTGTCTCTCACCCTTCACCACACTATCTCTCACCCCTTAACAACTTGAGAACACACTCTAGCAATAAAATCCACAGGTCTACTCAAAATTCTGTGTATTACTAATCATGTAGGCCTATAAAAGTGTGACACAGCTGAGAAGTGTAAGTGGGCGGGTTAGGTCAAGTTAGGCTAGATTGGGTTAAGTTAAAGTTAGGTGTGGTTGGGTATGGTTAGGTTGGTTACTAAAGCAAACAGGTAGACGAAAACACATTCGTATTGCTGCTCGACTTTATTTAAATCAACTCCTTATTACAAACTTGCCAGCGTCTAAGGTACAATAAATAATATGGGAGACACATCCTGAATTCTCAGTCAGCACCTGATAGCCCAATACTGTGATCTTATTGGTCGTTGTAGAGTGAGTGGGGTGCGGTGATTGGCTGACAGTGTCGGGCCGTCTGAGAACGGCGTAGAGGCGTGTGGTGCGACAGGCGCTCTTTCAACTCTCAGTACGCTACCAATCTTACCATTTCCTGAT